TATTTTGGGCCTATATCTCCTAGCTTGACGGATATAAGCCTGGATACATGGTGAGAACCTGAGGGTCAGTTTTCTTCACTGTTCTTTGGAAGAAAAAAAAGCCTGCCATCCAGCATCTGCCCTAACCTGTGGTTTGAAAGTTTTCACTAAAACGGACAGATCTGCTCCACTAGTCGTTCGTTGGTGTTGAAAGGCGTTCGCACTTAGCAGATTCAACAGGGGTGGAAGTTTCTGCGTAAATGTGCATTGATTTGCAATTCTAATGTGAGATTATTGCCAAATTGAAAACAAAAAGGTAAACCACGTAACACACGGACGATTTAAACCCAGACAGGGGAATAATAAGAAGCATTGTTGCAGTAAACGCTTGTTATTCAACCTCCTCCGTCCCCTGAGCTGAACAACTTGCTTCATCTTGAAAATCCTCTTTTCTTTCTTTGCTCAAGCTTTTGTTTTGTTTTTTTTCTCAGGGATTTTTTTTTTTTCTTCTTGTGCGTGTTTCCCAAACAAACTCGCTGTAATCCCCCGTTGCCGAGTATGCATAATGGATTCCTTTTATTCCAAATCCAAACGCTGCATTCAGACGCGGTCATTTTTCTCTCTGTTTCTGTCACTCTTTACCGTCTGTGGCCCTTACCTCTGCTGCCTCTCATTTCCCTTTCATTTTCTCCCTCCCCCCCTCCCCCCCCCCTCCTCCCCTCTCCCTGCTCTGCTCAGCTAAAGCTGTCATGTCACTTTCATTAGACGGCCTTATATCCGTGTTTTCCCTCTGCCTCTTTGCCTTTCCTGTTTGTTCTGTGGAGCGGATGAAGCGCCCGGCGCGCACCTTCACCCTCCCACAGCAGCTGCCACCTCCGTTTCTCCTCTGTCGCTGCCCGGGATGACTGGCAGCCATCCTCTCAGCCTGTCCACGCGTGTCACTCTCTGTGTGTCCCGCCCTCCTCCCCATCCCTTCCCCCCCGTCTTGTCTAGGTGAGTGATGGAGACGAGAGAGTTGACGGTGTTAGCTGGCAGCTTCGTGGGCTTCCAGTTCCTCTTCTCGGTGGCCAGCCCGCGACTCTCCTCCGCCGTCGCGCCGGGTTATAAAAGGCTACCCACCACCAAGCACACGGAGTGGAACTCCAGGTGTGTCCCAGAGCAACCCCTTTTCTTTTACAGACATACCCTACAATTCAATTCAATTACATTTTATTTATATAGCGCCACATCACAACAACAGTCGTCTCACAGCGCTTTCCAAACAGAGCAGGTCAGACCCTACTCTGAAGTTAATTACAGAAACCCAACAATTCCCACCATGAGCAAGCACTAGGCGACACAGGCAAGGAAAAACTTCCTTTTATGTCACCTACACATAATAGTCATCTCGAACTACACAATTTCTTTTAAAAGAAAGTAAAGGAGGAAAAAAAGTTGTTGTTTTTTTGGTGGGGCAGCTCAGGGGTGAGGTTCAGAGGGCACTCGCTCCCAGTTGTGCAACACCTCTGGCCGACGGCGCTCCGCTCTGTTTGCTGGCGGCCTGTTGTCCAGATAAGCCGCAGCCGACGGGAGCCTGTTTGTTCCTACCGGCCAGAGTGGAGCGCGCTGACCAAGAAGTCCAAAACGAGGCAAAAGCAAAAGCACCCATGGTTGACTTTGGAGTGTTCACGCATTGCATAACTGCCATCTCTCTCTCTGTGTCAGTTTGTTGTTTATGTAAGCTCCACTCAAGTGCACGTAGAAGACTGGGAAAGCTTTTCAGAGTAGACAGGGCAGTGTTGAACAAAGTAATGGAGAATAGAGGGTTTGTGTAAAGTGCCTCTCCTTTCTTTTTCTTTTTTTTATTATCTTTTTGGCTGCTTTATATTTACTTGTCAGTGTAGACGTAATGTATGTTTTTACTCCAGGCCTGCCTTACCTTTGGACCACTTTTTGAGTTGTTTTCTGTCCAGTCTTAAGTACCTGGCCACAGGTCAGTGTTTAAAACTGAGACATACTCCAATGCATCTCTCCTGAGAGATGCGTCCTTTGCAGTGTCCCCATTACTGTTTACCGAGGCCTCTTCGGAAATGGTTTTCCAACAGTTCAGTGACCCAAGACACTCCACTCGAACCATAGCTGGACAGAAAACAGTTTGTTTTATGTGATCCCTTCAGCCATCCTCCCTCTGACTCTTTCTACGGAGCCACTTCAGAATGTTAATAATGGCCTCATACAGCAGCCTGACCCCGTTTGGCCTGGGTTTAGGCCAGCAGCTGAAGCCTGCAGGCTGCCAGGAGGCTGCACAGTGATAGTGGAGGAACTCTCCCAGAGGGGAGATAGAGTACTGGAGTACTTCTTCAGTGACCCAGAGAGCGCCTCCAAAGGTCAGGGGTGACGTCCTGTCAGGTCTCTCTCTTTGTTTTCTTTTTTTAAAAGTAGCGAAAACTAGCTAGATTTTTAAAAAAAAAGGAAAAATAGATGCAATAACTTATTATACCGGTTAGAAAAGTTAATATTAATCTTCCTGTTTCGTGTTTACTCATGCGCTTTTTGTTTGTTTGTCTTTTTCTTGTGCCAATCTCCAGGTTGGTGTCCACTGTTCACGCCTTGGTTGTGGGCTTGTTCTGTTTATACATCCTGTGGTTCGATGACGAGGTCAACGCCAACCCTGTCTGGTAAGAGGAACCGAAAAGACATCCGCCAGATAGAAACCTATCAGCGTTGCTCATGGAAGAAGGAAACGTGATCCGCAGAACCTCGTGAACGACACGAAATGCGTCCCGCACATGTAAAAAGCTGCGTGCTGTGCCGTTTTGGAAGCCAGCGAAACGGGAAGTGGGCGCGCGGAGGGCAGGGAGGCTGGTTCCAGACGGTGTTCGGTTTCTCTAAAAGAAAGAAGGGGAGAGGACGGCTCTAACGCGTCTAACCTCCAGAGAGTGGAGCGGCGTTGGATTTCGGTCTAGAATCTCCTCCTTGTCTTGATTCGGTCTTCTCATGTGTTGTTTTTTCTTTTTTTTTTCTTTTTACTGACGTTAAAGCCTCCTGAAAGAGGAGAATAACCACCTCGTCTCCGCCATCTGCATCAGTCTTTAGGAACATTTTCCATCAGCCAGTAAGCGACGTCTTCAGTTTCTTTTACTTCTACATTTAAACCATGCAGCTTCCTTCCCCTTTTCGTCCCCCCCCTCCCCTCCACCCCCGATCCCGGGTGTCTCTTTCTTCTCTTCCTGTCTGGCTGTCTCCTATTCCACCAACAAGCCTCCTTTTCATAGCTCTGACAGCACCCCCGTCTCCCGCCCAACCCCCCCCCCCCCCCCCCCCTCCCGCTGTCCGTTGTGCCCCTCCACTCGGGCTGTCGAATCAATGCCGCACACCTCCCTCGCTCTCATTGTCCCCCGCTGGCTCCGGCCCGGCATCGCTGATGGAGCAGAAAAAGGGGGAGAGAAGAGAAAGCAGGGGTGGTTTTTTGGGGGGATTGGGCTGGGGATTTGGGGTTCAAAGATGGGAACTCCCTCCCCCCCCCCCCCCT